ATATTATTTATTTAGGTATCTTCTGGAATTACATATTGAATAGATCGTCTCTCTTGTTGTTTGTAAATAAATCATTCTGAAAAGATATACATCAAATTGGAAAAAATACCTTTGAACACCTCTTATCTTGAATCACAAAGTAGATTTACTCATAATCATGTTTGAAGTTTCCTGAGATCTTTTAATTTATCAGTTGAACTTCATTAAGTGTCAAACAAAAAATAAAAGAGAAAAAAAAATAGTTTAAAGGAACTTCTGGTGAACTTTTTGTCTCTTATCTCTGAAAGGTAGATCTTGTTGAATTATTGTAGATCTTGTTGAATTATTCTATTTGAATTATACCAAAGGAAGGGACAAGAAGCCTGAGAATTGCTTGAGAAATGTGCTTAACTGTTCTGTTAACAGTGCTGCTTCTGGTATAAATGTGAAATAATTAGACTTAAAGGGACTCTACTGAGGTTTTTCGGCGTAGCTGTATTAAAATGGATTTTGACCTAGATTTGTAACAAATGAAATTGTTAGTTACAAAATCTTCAGCTAAAAGAGGGTGTTTTTCATTGGTGGAAAGACTGGCTGTTATGAAATTTAAGGACAAATTCGTAATCTTTAGTTTACTTGTCTCTAAGAATAAACGTTGTATTAAAAATATTTATACAATCGTAAACTAAATATCACAACGTTATGACCAAAACAAAGATATATCAAAATACAAAAATATACAGTACATACGATTTCATGTACAATTTATTTTGTTGATAATATTAACAACAAACCCAACTTTTTGTTTTTCAGCCTATACTTGAACATTCCATTACTACTCACTCGTACTTAATTTGCCGTAGCTTTTCTGTTTTCTATGAAAATGAACGATATTTTTGATCAACAAAAAGATTCTCCAGAGCTGATATGAATTGCGAAAATTAATATATTTAAAATGCAACATTATCATAAAGAATCGCAAAACTTTAAGTATTATTTTTTGTGCGTAATAATAACAAATTAATTTATTCATAGTTATTCGGCGTTTGTTTACACCGGTAAGTAAATTTACCGAAATACACCCCATTTGACTACCACAATCTGAATGTCTCACTTGATAATCAGTGTCATTGATGGGTTATACAAAATTGAGTTTAGTACTTATTATAAGATAAATAGATATATTTCTGTATATATGGAACAACATTTATATTTTACATTCCACATTTAAAGTATATTGTAAAATATAACCTGTGTAGGTGTACGACACGTAGCCATGCCAGTAGGCTTAACTAGCACCTCCACCTCATACCCCTCTACAACCCCCACCCAAAAAATATTTATTTGAATAAATTGAACATTTTATTTTACTTCTTCTTGTCAGTTGGTTAGTTAGGTAGTTGTTTTTTCTTGTCTTCAAATACATATATTTCATTTTATAAATGATGTTTCATTGCATATTTTTCTAATTTTATTACTTTTTATGTTCATAATTCTGACCTCATTTGTTATTATGTCTCCACTACAGTGGTAGACATCTTTGATTCAGTTGGTTACTTAGTCTTTTTGCTTACATGCCATAACTACTTCATGCATGATGGGATTTTAAATGGACCTGGCACTAATATTCACCATCATGAGACGGTGTTGCCAATATGACCAAGGTTCCTTACTGTAAGGTCAAGTTCACACTAGAGGTTATAATTAGTGGTGCATTTATTTTGTTTACACACAATAATTTCTAAATGCATCATAAAATTTTGAATTTACTTGAGAAAAAAATTTCACCATCATGAGATGATCTGTCACACCAGGTCCTTACCTCTAACGTCAAGATCACACTTATAGCATAAAGGTCAAATAGTGCTGTAGGATTTTGTCTCCATACCATATCTTCTTCATGTTTGTTTGAATTTTCATTAATTTGGCACAAATATTAACCATTATGGCCGAGGTACCTACCGTCCGTACATACGTCTGTCTGTACGTCCCGAAATCTTGGGAACGCAACTCTTCTTAAACCGGATGGCAGATTTTGCTTAAACTTCCAGGGATGAACAACCTTAATGTGTAGATGGAGTAAAGGAAGGAATTTTCGCTGCAACCAAATTTAACAGAATTATGGCCCTTTGTTGATTTTTTCACTATATACTATGTAGAAATTTTGTGAACGCAACTTCTCTTAAACCGGATGGCAGATTTTGCTTAAACTTCCAGGGATGAACAACCTTAATGTGTAGATGGTAGTCAAGGAAGGAATTTTTGCTGCGACCAAATTTAACAAAATTATGGCCCTTTGTTGATTTTTAGTTTTCAACTTGTGCCACATGTAGTCTAAAAATATTTGACCTACAGTCATAAGATTGACAGAACAGTGGCGTGTGGGGGCATCCGTGTCCTATGGACACATTTCTAGTTAATAGAGATCTTAAATCATAATTTCAATGTATTGAAGTTTCTGCTTATTAATTCTTCTAAGACTTTGTCTATTGGTTTCATATTTCTTCTTCGTTAATGTTAAATCAAAATACTAGTCAAGCTGTGCAATTTTTAATAGAAATCCTTTTTTTATAAAATACATAAAATATTTTATAACTTTTACTAGTAAGGTTATGTTTAACTTTTGATTTAAGTCTTCAATTATTCATTTTCATTGCCAGATAGATAAGAAGGCATTATAAATAGAATAGTTCAGAGTTGATATGTTCCATTGATTGTTTATTACAGTTTGTATTCTTTCATAGATAAAAGATATAAACAACAAAAGATTTTGGTGTTATTATCATGACCTAATAATTGCAGCATTTTATGCACAGAAGTGCTTTTACAAAATGAAGGTCAGATACATATAAGTTAATATTATTTAACAATAAAATTCAAGTTGTCAGCTGATTGTGGCCTTTGCAGTCTCTAAATTTGGTAGTGTGGTTGGTTATTATCTGGTATCGACTTTGAAATCAGTAGTCAAAAGTCACGGTGACAAAAAAGCTTATAGCATCTATAATAACATGACTAATTTGTTGACATTATAGGAGCATACATGTTTCAGCTAAGTTTAGAAAACTCTCATAGATTATACTAGTAACCACCAAATAAATTTCACTTTGGACATTTATATTGTTATAAAGTATAAATATCATTAATTTAGACAATATTCTAAAGCTATGAGACATTTTGCACTGAATTTACGCCGATTATCTTTTTTAAAGATATTTCTTGTTTTATATGATGGGACTGGATTTTTTCCCCCAAATTTGTGAATCATTTGTTGTAAGTCTGAACCAATTACTTGTGTTATATTTTGAAGAATATTATCTTGTCCCTTTTTTTTCTTCAAAATATGAATTTTTATTTTGCAAAATGACCCACTAATGAAAAACATTGCAATAGTTTTCACTCAAATCAGGCTAAGAATTGGTAAAAACTTTATTTTTAATAATAATTTTTAATTTTTCTGAGTATATATATTTCTGTATTATCTATATCAGATTTTTACCATTTTAAGAGCTTCACTTGATCTATGTAAAAATTTCAAAGTTAATGTTTTAAGGCTTTTTGACCTCAGTGTTGCCAAATATAAGGACAATTAATGCTGGTATAATTATGGTATAATCATATTTTCTACAGTGTTTATACTGACAAAAGTGATTATCAGTGATTTCTTTCTCATTGGCGTCCGCACCAAAGTGCGGCACCTTTTATGGAATGCATTCAGATTTTGTAAAACGGCAATCACAACTTTTCGACCCTTTCCGTCAGTCTTAGCCGAGGACGTTCTGATTGGTGAAAGGGTAATTGCTGTGTTGTTTTTTTGTTGATTTTTAAAAACAAAATGGTCATTCGTGTTGTATAACATTCATGTTACGATCTGCTAACTGTGATACTAGCCAAACTTTTTGAACTTTGTCCTCTACATTCTTCTTGTTGCTTTTCTCTAAGAAATGAGGTATGGAATCTTTCTTTTGGTATTTGAATTAAGTCTAATTTCACCCCTAAAAAGGTAATGCTAATTTTTGTTTCCAAATGAGATTAGTTATCACTCTGTATTTGATTCTTTTAACCAAATAAAAGTGCTTAAACGGATAAGGGTTAGTGTTTGGAAGTTTATTAAGATTGTTTAGTGACTTAATTTTGTCTAGACATTTGCTGAAACATTGCAAGTGGGTGACTTAGGTTCATTTATCCTGTTTTATTTGTCTTAAATTGTGGTAACAAGTTATGAGTATGCCAAGTTGATCACAGTTTCCTTGCATCATTTTATTATAGGCATAATATTGAATTAAAGATACTGTCTGAAAAAAAAAAAAAAGAATAAAGTGACAAATGTTTGTACATATAAATGCAGCATATGATTGTATCACAAATACCCCTCTACTTCACAGACTGTTAACTCACTATTAAGCATAATTTTGACATAAAAAACAATTAACTATTTTAAGATGATAGTAAGAGTAATGGTAGAGAAAACCACCAACCCATTCATCATTTTCTTTCATGTTGTACGATTTATTGAATTATGTTGGAATCAAGTAATTTTGAGAGGGGAAAAAACTAAGCTGATTAAATTTTGCATATAAGATTTTGGAAAAAAAAATCATTAAAAAAGAATCTTGTTTTCAGCTAGACAGTTTTGTATTCAAAATCCTAAATATTTGGTTTGGCAAAAAAAGAAGAAAAAAAACAAAAGAAAAAGAGTGTATTATGTTTAAAGAAACAAATAGATTAGCTGATTTATAGCAATTAATTTCTTTTTCATCGCTCTCTCCTAAGATTTTGGTTAATTGTGGAAAATTTTAAAAAAATTAAAGAATTAAAGAATAATTTCCCTTGAGAGAATTTCTTCACTATAACTGTCTTTAACATTGTGCAATAGAGAGAAAACACCCACTAAACAAGGCTATCTTAATCTGTGAACTTATTTATCTAGTTGTGTTGTACCTTATTTAATTGGTTTCCTGTACAAAAATTTATCGCCTAAATCGGGGGTCTAATTTAAGTGTCCAGTTCTTTTTTATTTGGAAATGGAGATTTTATCAGTAATATGACTGCAATATATCCGCTAATTGGTAAAATAGAAAAACTGTTCACAGTTTAGTCGTATATATTGATCACTGGTAGAAAAGGTATTGGAATATTAGAGTCAGCTCCGTAAATGTTAGTGTCATTAGCCCCTGTGGTTTCAGATGAAAACGGTCTCAACGGACAATTGTCATACTGTATTGTGGAAGTGTCAAAGTCATTGTAACTGTGTTAAATGTTATTGGACAGGCTGGATTTTATTTCCAACTTGTGTTGGACTGATTTCGATAAAAACCCATATTGTCATCGTTTTTAAAAAGTGAATTGAATACATGGTATTTGAAAAGTTGGGAGAATTAGACGTTAGCTTGTTCTTTTCATTATTGCTGCATTGGGAGTCAGTTGAATATCAAATAAAAACAACAATGTTTTGTGTGAGGTAGTATATTATTATTGCAAATTTTTGTCATGAGAAAAGTTTGTTGTTTTTTTTTATCAAATTGAAAAAAGTTCTCTGATAGAATTATCATCTTTCAATAATTATATTATTTAAATAATTTTTGAGTAATTAATTTCAATGAACTTTAAATATAACAAGCAATTATAAATATCGAAATATGTAAAAGTGTTCATGTATAATAGTATAAAACATGTAGCATTTATGGTCCTTTGTTTGAAATTATAACACTGTATGATTGTGGAATATTATTTTGCATTGTATTAAATACTGATTTTAAATTTTGGAGAGAAACCAAATCGATTTTGATTAGAGATTAAAGTGAAATTCTATGAACACACAGATTTCTGCGTTTTGTAATAGATTTTAAGCACTGAATTTATTTAATCTACAGCTTGAAGAGGAAGATATTTTTGTTCCTAAAATTTTACAGGGATTATTTTAAAGAATGTCGAAACCAGCCCAGTGAATGAATTTTTTTATGTGTGTTTTCCATTTTTTCCCCATCATTCTATTCAATAAATCAAAACAATTTGTTTTTTACTTGTTTGTTTGTTTTTGAAACAGTATGGATTATATGTTTGAATTAAAGCAATGTTTGTTTGTTTTTCTCCTATAGCTTCTGAAATTATTTGACAAGGTTCAGCTTTTGGAATAAGGTTAAAGTTTTTTGTTCATAGACATCATGTAAGTGTCTGTTTCAATAACTAACTGCACTTGATGAAAAATTAGGAAGTGTGCATGTTTGTAACTAATTTACAGGATCTTGTTGTGGCATAGAGAGGAGGAAAAAAATATTGTTTAAAGTTTTACAAACTCTTTGGAGGTGGAATGTAAATGTTTGATGGGTAATTTAAAATTGGAAATATTTTGAACTTAAGTATCATTTTACTTTTTCTTCAAACATTTACTTTGTGAAAATGCTTTTTTTTTTAAATGTAGGAGTAGAATATTAAGGGTTAAATGCATTTTTATTTGATACATGTTTGGCGTTTTGAATTTTATATTTGATACCTATTTTATATTTTTTAATATCACTGAATATGAAGAGAATCAGTTGATTAATTGTTTTTCATATTTTTAATTTGAATTTCATGTTAGAAATTGGAAATAGAAAAAATGTCAAGAAAGAATTGACCACAAGTTTTTGTTTTATGTATAGAGTAACTTGAAACAATTCAAATATCAAGGGAATTTGTAAGAGAACATTTTTCATATAATAATTCAAATATCCTCTGTTAGAATTTGAACCTGAAATAAGATGATATCAAAGGAAGAAAATATTATGTGGCAGTATATACGTATCATATACCTCAGATCTTTTTTATTTTTTCAAAAAATTATAGGGAAGATAATTTTAGACTAACCAAAATAAACTAAAAATAATAATTTAAAAAAAAGTATTGAGAAAATTACATAACTGTATAAACTATTTCAGGAAAATGGGAAAGGTTGTGACATGCTATTGAAAGGAAGGAAATTGAAAAATGAAACATTCTTCATTGGACTGTGTTAATCTAGCTTCAACCTGCAGGATTTATAATTGTCTATCTCAGAAATGGTTTTATTTTATGAGTGGCTTGTGTTTTAATGATAATAACTAACAGGAGTGTTTAATGTATATTATATTTTCCAAGGGAATAGACAGGATATTAATTAAAAATTTGAGATTTCAAGACAAGATATACATATTTTGAGCAGAACAATAAGGAGAGTCAAAGCCTATTAAATGCTGCAACATATTGTAAACTCACAGGAAATAAATTGAAAATAAGCGAAAGAAAAGGATTACTAATTTTAGTCTTATTAATTTCTAAGGTGTGGTGATATTTTTAATTTAAAAAAACTTAAAGATTGCATAGAGACAGGTGCTTTATTAATTGATGCAAACGGGAATGATTTTGTGACAAAATGAAGGTATGGAGTCTCTCAGTGCTACAAGTTCTCTCAGGTAGGTCTTTGTTTCCATGGTAACTGTTGTTTTTTTGTTTATATACATATATCAGTACATATTAGTGCTAATATCTATAGATATCTCCTTAACAATGTCTTTTATCAGAATTTTTGTCATAATGTTTTCTGAGACCCAAGGATGTATCGTTAGATAAGAAAATTTTTACCCTTATACCCTTACATAACATGGCAAGTTTATTGCTTTAAATGTTATATATATGTAATTATCATGCTTGTGGGCATTAATCTGAGACCACTGGGGATTGAGGCATTTATAGAGGCTAGCTTCACCAGCATTGTTGTTCGATTTTGATTATAGGACTGAAAAATATTGCAAATGTCAAATAAATAAAAAAAAAGTTCATATGAATTTATTAACCATTATTATAATTATTGAATCAAAAGCAGCAAAGTTTTTTCTAAAATCATCATGAATGTACATGATCATGTAGTACATGAAAAATCGTTGAAAACATTTATTGGTCTCTTGTTGTTTTGGGCTTAAAAGCCCTTTGAGCATTTTATAAAATCAGGGTCTGATAAAAGAGGCACATAGTGTTCTTATGTTTTACAGTGTAACAAAATTTAATAAAATCTGCATATAAATGTTTTTTTGCATATACAAAATTGAAACAGAAGGGTTGAAATTGTTTTTTTGTACTAAAATGTACTTAAATAGAATTAACACTAAGGTTTAGACACTGGATAAGCATACACAATGATTGCTTTAAAAATGAATCCTTGGTTTTAAGATGTTTCTTTGATCCAAGAAAGTTCAAATGTTTAAAAGTCCTACTTTATGAAGTTATTTTCGTATGTGAACAAAGTTGTACTAAAACTTTAAGCCCTATTGGCACCACACAGCTTTTATTGTTTTCCTGTGAAATCCATATCAAATCAGTATTGCTGTTTAATATTTTATGTAGGTGTTATTGAGACATAAACATTAAAGTTTTAGCCACTGTTGGATAACCAGAATTATCTGTTTTTGTCATAAATTGAAATCAAAGTACCATCTTTTATCTTCAAAGCAACTTGAATCTAGACAATGTAAAGTTTATGAAAAAATATCAAGAATTACAAATAAGATGTAAATCTTTATAGTTTTTGCTAAGTCTTTACAAAAGGTACATTTTATTAAAAGCTTTGAATGTATAGAGCTGCTTTTTGGACAAAAATTATATAAAGGTAACTTACCATCTTACCTTTTAATCTCAAAATTGCTTTGATGTAAGAGTCAGACAAAATTACAATCAATGTATTATTTCTTTTGTTCTTTTTGGTCAATGTTCAAAATTGCAAGCAGCACATGCAATAGAACAATTTTGCATTTGATTAACTTCTTTGATTAAGCCTTCTTTAATGTGAATGGCATCTAAACAGTTAAGAGCAATTGAGTGAAGAACAATTTCAAAGTGCAGTGATGTGAATTACAATGAAAGGCAATGGAATGAATTTCAGTTCAGAGCAATTGAGTGAAGGGCATTTTAAAGTATAGTGGTGTGAATGGCATTGATGGAGTGAAATGGCAGTTAAATGGCAAGTAAGGACAGTGATGTGAGTGGTAATGATAGGAAACAGAGTGTTGGCAATTAAGGGAAATTGAGTGAAGGGCAATTTATGACTTATGTTGTGAATGTCAGTAAGGGACAGTGGTGTGTAGGGCAATTGAGTAAAGGGCAATTGGATGGAATTGAGTTAAGGACAATAAATGGAGTGAATGGCAAAAAAAAGCAATTCTGGATTTGTTCAAAGAGAAGAATGTGTTTCTTTTTTTACTTCCTTTACTCCTGAAAACGAAGATTAACCTGAATGAATGCCAGACATGGCTCAATTTTAGTCCAAGCATATTTTAAACAATTTTATTGTCATGTTATTTTAATTATTTTAAAAGAATTAACTTGTAAACTGTACATTTCTGATTTTCAAAATTCTATGGATTTGAAATTTTGTTCGTTTTAGATAAATTCCATTGTAGAATCTGACAGTAATAAAAATTCTATGCACTGTATGTCTATTGAAATATTCAGTAAAAGTTCAGCATTTGGTCTAAGTTTAGTAATGGTTGACCAACAAGGGATTTTGTGTCTGTCTGAAGCAATCTTATGTACAATTTATCAGACTGAATCAACTTTTATTGTGATTTAAGCCCTGGCTTCTTTAACAAGTTTTCAACTATAAGCCTTTGTATTATACCAAGTAAAAATGCCAGGAAAAGCTAACAAAATATTGTAATTAATCTTCTTCCAGACTGGGAAGAAGCCACTGAATTGGCTAATACAAAGCTGTATAACAGTGGACATAGCAATAATTCTTGATTACATCAGTTGCAGAAAGCATTGTGCCATTTGCAACACAGTTTGATAATTTTTAGTATCAAATTTACCACCTGATGATATTAGTGGTCTGTACCATAGTCCATACCATAGCGTAGTCATTTCCTTGTTTTTTTGTTGTTGTTTTTTTTTCATTCTGCAAAATTGCCCAGTTTTGCTGTAAACTTTTATTGCTTTCTCAATGCTAGGATTTCCCCCAAAGCATTAATAAAACGTCTATTGAATATTGAATATAAGGAACCAGTCATTATCTTTCTGGAATATTTACATAACAAACATGGTAAAATAGAGAGACTGTTTGACAGGTACAATAAAAGGAATGTTGAAACATACAGTTTTTTTAATTTACTGAAAACATTGAAGACAAACTATAATTTTCTCTGCAACTAGCGATAAAGGATTTTAAAGCTGAAGTTGTAACTACATATTTATAATTTCTGTATTATGGCTCTAAATAAATAAATAAAATCTTTCCGTCATACTTTGATAAGTTAGGAATGCAAACACAATTAAACTACTTAGGGGACACACTGACTGGAAGCTGCATAAGTCCAATATTTGTATGAAAAGTCCTAAGAAAGAGAAAACTCAGCATGACTATAGCACAAGAAACTGTAACTCTAAACAATGGATTGGCCATGCTGCTTTGAATTTGGGTCAGTCAATTTGAAGTTCAAGGACATTGTGAAAGTATCAAAATGCAAACATTGAATTAAATGCAGTTAAGAGCCTGGCACATACTCGGGTGCCACACCCAGTAGCAGTAAAAGCTAAAACGCTATCAAGACTTGTAAAATGTTGCTTAAAGTGAGATACTTTTAGACTAATTAGATACGTTGAAAAATAATTAAGATAATTAACTTGAGAAATTGATGAAAGACATTGATTATAAATGTTTTACATATTAATGTGAAATTAATGCTAGAAAAGATTCTAATGATTATTTTGTTAATGAAATTTGTTAATTACCAATTAAAGGAGTTTAAAGCTAAATATAAAAACACAGAAAAATGGGGAAAAACCTGATTAGTCATAATGAAGTTTAAAACCAAAAAACAAAAAAATGAAAAAAGTACCCGGTAAATGAAATTGACAAACTGTGTTCTTTTCTATTTGAATTTTTCTTTTTAAGAAGTATATACAGAAACAAATTAAGGTCAGTTTGCAATTTGAGGTGTTCAAGTCGATGAAACTAAACATGTTGATATTTATTAAGTTGCACTTTTGGCCCATGATGAGAAATTAGATTTTCCTGATTTAAAACACTATATTATACACAATTTCAACTGGATGAAGGGTGGTGGGTTTGACAGGGCTTGCATACACCACTGCCATCCATAAACACACTCCATTAAACCTTGCAAGCCTGCAACATTTTCAATAGTTGAATGTTAGCAATGTTTAAGTTTTCCTTTTTATGTTAACGAAACCAAAGAACTTCATAAAAGTCATTTACAGGAAAAGATGAAAAAGTTGTAAAATTTATGGAAGCTATTACTTGATCTTTTGTTGATTATGTATTTTAAATTCAGTAATAGATTTAACATTCCATTTAGCAATTACTATTTTTGAAATAAAATCTGAAATGTGTGGTATATCTATCTCTATGGTAACAAAATTGTCTCACAGTGAGCATCAGTCATGTTTTGATGTCTATTGACAGTTAAATGATGCTTTATTGCTCTGTTTATATCTCCAAAATGACTTTGCTTTGAATATTACATGAACTTTGAATTTAAAATAAGTGAGTTACAAATCTCACCAGGATAGGTTTTTTTATTTATTATGAACAAATGACAATACAAAACTACATAGTCTATGAATGCCAGGCTTCTCACATGACATTGACAATGACATGACTTTTTTTTGTCAAACTTGTAAAATGATGAAAATTCCTGGAAAATTTTATCACGAAATATCATATGTTGACATTTACATTATAGACACTGCAAAGGTCATTTGTTAAAATGAATGTTCATCTTTTACTGATGGAGGTAAGCTTCACCATTGCAACTCCTATGAGTCTTACATTTTGCAAGGCACTTCTTCTAATGAAAGGATTCAATGTGACCTGAAAGCGGAGAAAGTGAAAGTGATATGAAGTCAGCAATCATAACAACTATAGTGTCCAATTATCAGAACTTTTTTTAACTTGTTTTAAGAGAGACTGCTTAATAAGTAGATGAATTTACTGCTATTGAATTTTAAATTTTGAATTTGTTATTTTAGGGGTTTCCAAAGTAAAAAAAAAATGATAAGCAGTTGAGGAGATATAGCTTTATTCAGACTGCATAGATTTGGCTACACTAAATTATACCAAGGGAGTAAGAAACAGTAAGAAACACCGTTTTAATGCATTTATCTTTCAACAGTAAATGAGTGCATGGTGAAAACTGGAATAAGTTAACTTTTAAAATGTTTAAGTAAACTTTATCATTTAAATAAAATTCAATTTAATCTTAATTTTGTATTCCAAGAAAAGCCCAAGAAATTCAGAATCAGAAAACTTTTATTATCTTTTTAGTGAACATCTGAGAATTGTTCAAATTGTTAACAAGATAATGTTCTATATTTAGCATTGTTCTAGATTTTATTATAATAAAACTTGTATTTTTTTTATTTTTTATTTCATCTAAAGCATAGCAGTGCACACAAGAGAGAC